TATATATATATATATATATATATATATATAATATACTATATATATATATATATAATATATATATATATATACTACTATATATATATATATATATTATTATATATATATTATATTATAATAACTACTATATATATATATATATATATATGTAGATATATATATATATATATATATATATATTTCCCTTGACTACTTGTCCTCTCTAGGCTATAATGCAACTGGTAGTGGGTGTAGGTTCGAACGAACTGCTGATCATGGCGGTCAGTACGGGGGTGTGTTTGGGTGTTTGTAGTGCTGTGTATAGTGACAGGGGTATTCGAGGCACACAGACTCAGTGTGGTGGACGTTGACGATTTTAATTTTGTTTTAAAATAAAAAAAATACTTTTTGTCGGATCTGCAACGAATTGCGCGCTCTCTTAACCAATTAAATGACGCACTTTTTATTCAAAAGTGTGAGCTTCGCTCATACCTGTTATATTAAAAAAACCCCATATTTATTATGTATGTTAAAAGTAAACAAATATGTTTACATGGGTTTCCCGTTTCTGCTCTGTAGTGCCGCTGTATTAAAATATACAATGGTGTTGTTCGGATGTCGTTTCACTTTAAATAGATGTTGCAGACGTCCGCTCGCTTTGTACGTTTGAATTTACAGAATTTCCGCACGATGTCGACGCGGCCTTCACGCAAGTGCAAGGCGGTTTCTAACCTTAACCCAATGAATGGCAAAAAGCAAAGAACCGGCGAGAAAGTCACAAAAATTACCAAGGAAAGCGAATCAATCAAATCCTTAGGCGTAGAATGTTCAAACAACAGCAATAATGATGCATCGCGCGAAGTAGCACCAAGTCCTAAAAAACAGAAGGCACAATCTGAAGCTGCGGTACCTCGGAATACATCTTCATCAGGCGAAGTTAGTCAAACAAGAACGGAAACGGATCAAGCCACTGCAATAGCCGCAAAAAAGGCGAAAGCAGCAGGTGTGTATGTTTTAAGGTTCGTTAAAGGCGATTTGGTATATTTCTGGCTGGGGCAGGTGGGCATGTTTGATCGCCAAATAATAGGCATGTATAGTTTGTAAATCCAATGCTGAATTCTATACAAAGGTCAATTCCCTCTGTGGCAATAGCGTCTCACGCTGGCGTCTGTTATAATGCATTTAACTTGTTAAACTTGACAGTCAATCCCAGGTTTTCCTAAGTGTATATCAATGCATAGGTATACGAAGTGATCCCTTGCATACATGACTTTAAATTATGTACACTGGCATAGTCATACCAGAATACTTCATTTACGGTATCAGAAATCGTTACCAGTTTTCTTTCCTTGTTAGAGAATTGAGTGTTCATACAGCCATCACAATCTGCAATGTATTGACTTCATGTCAGATGCTAGGTTAGCCAAACAAGCTGAGCGTCCAATGTTCGAGCGGACACCCATGACCCGCAAATACAAGGCAGGTAGCGAGCAGGCCTTTGTGGCTGTCGCGTGGAATGTCGCCGGATTACGGGCTGTGCTGAGAACACCACAACGAATTGAGAGCTTTCGACGACTGGTTGACGTGGAGAAACCGGACTACTTGTTAATACAGGTTTGTATCTCATAGTCGTCTGTTCAGTCAATTTTACCACCCCGCAAGGTTGTCACGACCTGAATGTTTGAGCTCTTCCCTATCATCGATATCGAAAGTTGTGTAGTAATGTAGAAATTATTTTTAGACGCAATAGTGGAAATGTGATTAAATTTAAAATTATGTTGATATCCGCATTAGGAACACAAGCTACAAGGGAAAGATGTAGAGGAAATCGAGACAGCTCTTGAACCGTACATACCAGGGTACGAATCCCACTGGGTTTCCAGCACTGGGAAAAAGGGATATTCTGGAGTGGCTGTGTTTCTAAAGTACCCGGTGAGGAATACTCCGTCCGACAAACAAGTTGCAGACGCTGGGGATGGTAAGAATTGTGCAAATGCAAAGCCGAATAAGGAGAAAAAGGGCAAGCAGGCTTCACTCAAAGACATGTTTGGTATCAAGAAAGATGTGGAGCAGGAACTAGTGTCGGAGACCTCGTCGACGAAAACCATGAAAAATTCAGGTGTGCGGAGTTCATATATAGTTATATTTGCACAATTGCAGGTGTGCCATTGGTGAGGTTTCAATTCATAGTGTTTAGCCGGTCAATAGGGAACACTTGCCCACTTACATAATTAATACGTCGGTTTTTATCCTGCGTCGTACCTGATTGTTATAAATTAAATATATTCTAGTATTTTATATGGTATACGGTATCAACTCCTCTTGTTGAAGGCCGTACACTCACGCAGCGTCCGCCACTATAAACTTCAAAAGTGCGGCAAATTTGTTGTTATGCGTAAAAATGGGTTTTTTCGTATTCTATTTAGTTGTGTGGACACATTCTGGTTTATATATATGTTTATTCTGATGGTATAGGTGCCCTTGCACGGTACTACGTATGCTTTATTCCAGGATACGTATTCTAATGTATGTTTTATAAATGCACTTCTCACTATTAGACGCAATTTCCATCGCTCTTCCATGAAATTCATTTTATGCTCTGTTATGCACGGTCGATCCGCATGTGTATGTCCTTGTTTTGAGGTTGTAAATCTACGCCTGATGTTTCGGTATCTCGAGCACTAGGTATCTTGAACCAATCAAGAAATATACTATAATTACTCAGGATGTGTTTACATTATAGTGGCTCCATTTCCAAAATTCTGACGGTGGGAAGTTTCGAGACTGAGGAATCTCTCCTCTTTCAGACTCACAGATGTACCGAGCCATCAACGTAACAATGCCAAAGATTGAAGGGGCATCCGACGAGGGCAGGGTTATAACCGTGGAGTATCCCCACTTTTACATGGTCGGCGCTTACGTTCCTAATTCAGGTCAGTTTCACTTCTCCATAAGTGTGCTAGAACAATATAGGGCGGCCAATGTGTGCCAAACCGAATAGCACGAATGGTTCAGTGTTGCATACTTACTGTGACTACTTCCTATAGTTGTGGCCCTGGCTGGATTGCTTGGGATCATGCGAGATATTCAAGACCAGGCCAGCATAAGCCGCCACAGTCTTTCCCGCTAGTATCGTTCGAAGAATGCTGAATTCACATCGTATTTGCTCACAGGGCAAAATCTGGCTAGGCTGGAATACAGAATTGGCGGGTGGAATAAGAGTTTGAACGCCTACATGAAAGAGTTAGAGAAAACCAAACCTGTCATTTTGGGAGGGGACTTAAATGTGGCGCATACCGATCAAGACGTTTATAATCCTGAGGCCAAACACATCCCGAAGTCGGCTGGTACTACACCTCAAGAGAGGCGGGCCTTTAGTGAATTACTTTCGGATGGTGAGATGGTGGATACCTTTAGGCATTATCATCCAGATGCCCGGGGGGCTTTCTCGTATTGGAGTATGCGTGTCAATAACAGAGTAGTGAATCGTGGGATGAGACTAGACTACTTTGTAGCATCGAAGATTTTGGTAGATAACACCGCCAAAAGTTCAGAGACCACAGACCAATCTACTGATGCCACAGAAAAGCCTGCTTTAGCATCTAAGAACGCTACACCATACAAGACCCAGGGAGCACAAATATTAGATGCGTGGATATCGCCCGAATACAATGGCTCAGATCACTGTCCGGTAGGTATTGCCATTGCGATTGACAGTTTCAAGGACATCGCTTTTTGAAGCCCACTTATCAACGATACTAAGAGACATAATTGTGCAGTTGTGCTTCTCACTAGCGAAGTATACAGCGCTTCAATTCGGACTGTCACGAATAGTCATTATTTGAGACTAGTCCTCTGGCAGGCTCCTATGCAATAGATAGCGCTGCAGTTGTCGCTTCAATGCTGCTATACTGCTGCGAAAAATCAGCGTGGAGTAGTATGAGATTGTAATTGTGTGCAGGATTGACGAAGTTCAGGTGATGCCATGGTGTACATTGTACTTGCGCTTGAATTGATTCCTTTGAAGCGAGACGAGGTAGGTCGATGTTTGAACGAAAGGACTAAGCTATGACTTTTATATCTATGCCGTTCTGCCAACGTCTTTTTTCTTCAGCATCAATGCCGTTGCAACTTAAATACAAAAGACTTTAGGGTTCCCCGCCAACGTCTTTCAAACAACACATAAATACTTATTCCTAATTTAATTTATTTCAATACTATTTTACTAGATTTCATATGTATCTAATTACGCAGCGAACACTTTGTCTTTCCTCTGCTTGGTTAGTTCGACACCGTCTTCTAATGCTACAAGTTGCGTCATCAGGTCCCCGATGAAGTATGGATGTGCCATAAATTCAGCATGGTAGTAATCCGGCAGCATTAGCTTAGTCTCTGGTGAAAGGTGTTTTATGTGATCCACCACAAGATCACTAGGTACGATGTCATCTTTCATGGATGCCACAACCAAGGAATTTGCAGGGATTTCGGTGGGATGCATATTGTATTGATACCACCAGAAATTCCTACAGAGAACGTTCTGCAGTTGAAGAAGGTATGCGGTTAAAATGTAAAATACCCATTGCTTGCTTCTGCATTGACAAAACTATTTTTTTGCATACAACATCACGCATGTTGTACAGTAATTCAACCACACCGCAATCGCGCACCGCTTACCTGCATGTAGAGCTCTCTGCTGCATCCATAGTACCTGGCCCATTGAAACCAATGGTTATCGGGTTTTCGGTACACAAAGCTATTCACCACCTTCGGGATGTACAGTAGAAAGCAAATAGGATCTATGTAAATAGACGTGTGCATTAGGTGGGGATAGGTCTTGGCCATACGCGCGAGAATCACAGATCCGTAGCTGTGCCCAACAAAAGAGGCAGACGTATGCCCATCATTGCGCAAAAAGTTGCGAATAGTCTCATTGATAGTGTCAACAGTAGGTACGTCATCGCATATCCGCATTGCAATATGTGGGAAGTCCATTAGGTACACATCGCGATTGTCCACTGCTTCTTCCGCATCCATGGTGTACGAACTTAGATTGCACAAACTCCATATAACATGCAAGTATGCGCTGAGACCAACCCCCATCCCATGGGCGAATACGATGGGCTTCCGTTGTTGGCAAACTGATACTGGCAAGCCCGCTGGTTTATGCCAGTATGAGATGCTCGTCTCCGCGTCACACTCTTTATTAAAACAGAGTCCCCAGAGCACAAATTCTGATGCTATTCCAGCGATATGCGACCAAAGATACAGAATTAATGGGTGATGTACTACATGTAAGTTGTCTCGAGTGTGCTGCAAATAGCCAGCGGGGAAGCCCTCCGTGTCATCGTAGTACACCCGTCCGCTTGATCCGTCCTCCTCCTTGAATCTAGAAAGTTCGAAGATTGTGTTATATGTCTAAGCACCCAGGCATAGAAATAGACACTGTACATCCTGTGACCTATAAACTTTTGCAGATTAATATGCGATTCGACCCACAATGGAATGATACACTTACCCGGCGCCAGTGCGATCCCTGAGAATTTTCAATAGAGAATCAAATTGCTGGTTCTGCAATTTACTCATCTTAGCCACAGATTTGTTATGATAATTTGCCGCAAACATAGCACGAAACTCGGACTCTGTGATATCTTCGGCATTCCGACCACCAAACCATCCCGGGAAGAACACATTGCCGTGCTTTACAATATAATCGGCGATTTGGTGGAACATCTCATCATCATTCTTTGGGAAAGGAGCCGGTATCGCCTGTTTGTGATTAGTTAATTGAGCAGCATCAACGTTTGTAACATTGTTATTCTATTGAACAAATAAACTTCCGACAACACGTGCAATGGGCTTGGGCGAGCATAATACAGTTGTCACAGTCGATAACTGCGAAATTCGACACGGGCCGCGATGCCCATACATATAAAAAATATTCAAAATGTTAATTCATTTCTCGTAGACTTGTGATCTTTTCGTTTTGGTGTGTCGTATTGCACTTGGAACATTCGCAAATTCGAGATGACGAACGCATCAACTCCCATAAATACGTGAGTACAGTCATAACAATCCACAGTCTATGTGAACGTCAGTGTCGACATGACTAGCGTGAAAGTATTACATCTACATTAGCATGTATAGTATCAGTATAAACACACACGTGCATAGATACGATATATATACTTCGAAGATATATAATCATAGACAATACATACAAAAGACAATCGTCCACCTAACACATAAACACACACACTCACACGCACTTACACACACATGTATATATGTACATATAGATATAAACATGCAGAAATATACACCCACACGCACTTACACACATATATATATATAAACATGAACATGAATCAAATTATAAAAATAAATATGAAAATATACATAAATATATATATATCGTAATCATATTAAATAATGGTATAAGCCTACAAACTTATATACATACATACACACCCACACACCCATATATATATACACCCACACACATATATATATATATGAACAAATTACTATTAAAACCATAATTCGTACGTAAACAAATGCATGTGGACATAGTATGGATGTAAGCAAGAGGGCAAGTATATGTTGGAAGAAGCAGAAGTGTAAGTTAGAGAAGAGGTATTATAAAGATATATATGAAGTGCATGTATGTGTATATGAATGTATGTACATATATGGTTATGGATATGCGTCCGAGATCTAAATATATTTGTACATACACACACATGAATATATATATATACATACATACATACATGCATACATGTATATATCTAAAAATTTATAACATATATATGTATCGTTGTAGAATTTGTGTTTTCTACATTTGTTTATACCTCAATATAGATATAGATATAGAAATTGATAATATATACATATACATGTACCTACCTACATACATACATATATATATATGAATTTTATATATATATAAATATATAAACAATAATATAGAAAAAGATAAAGTCAACGATGAGTTTATAAATGTACATAACTATATGTATAGATATTCAAAACAATACATCAATACATACATACATTTATATACGTACATATACACCCACTCGCAGACACAGACACACATATATATATATGAACAATTTACTATTAAAACCATAATTCGTACGTAAACAAATACACTTGGACATAGTATGGATGTAAGCAAGTGGGCAAGAATATGTTGGAAGAAGCAGAAGTGTAGGTTAGAAAAAAGGTATTATAAAGAGATATATGAAGTGTATGTGTGTGTATATGAATGTATGTGCATATATGGTTATAGATATACGTCCGAGATCTAAACCTATCTGTACATATACACACACACACACATAAATATATACACAGTGACATATATATATACATACATACAAATATACATATATATATACATATACATATATATTTATACATACATATAAATATAAATATACATACAAACATGCATGCATGTATGTATATACATATATATTTATACATGAATACACACATACATATATACATAAATACATACATACATGCATGGATGCATGCATGCATATATTATATATATATATCTATACATATATAAACATATATATGTATCCTTGTAGAATACATGTTTTTTACATTTGTTTATATCTCAATATAGATATAGATTTAGATATGGATATAAAATTAGATAATATATTATATTATATATATATATATATATATATAATACCTATATGTGTGTGTGTGTGTGTGTACATATATATACATATAGGTATATATTTGAACAATAATATAGAAACAGATATAGTCAACGATATGAGTTTATAAATGTAAATAATTATATGTATAGATTTACAAAACAATACATACATACATGCATACATACATACATACATTTATATACATATGCACGTATATATATATATATATATATATATATGTATACATGCACTCAGACATTTGTACATACATACATACATACACATACCCACACACACACACAAATACACACATATACACACTCACACTCGCAGACACACTCGCAGACACACTCGCAGACACACACTCGCAGACACACACACACACACTCACTCACTCACTCACCCAATTCACCTACCGTCTGCGCTGAAAGAAAATTTCTTTTGTGGCGATAGTAGAAGAACCATAAAATTTCAGAGCCGAGAATGGCTGCAGTGAGAATCTGTATGATTTGGGTTGTTTCCATACCCGTGGCACTACATAATGAGTAGATCGACGAGCCAACGATCACTCCTGGGCCGATAGCTAGACCCCTGCAGATTAGTAAATGAGGTTATTAGATATCAGGGTAAAATAGAGGGTGTACACTGTCGTGCATATTATATCGAAGACAACTCCTTTTCAAAAAGATATGTTATATCGAGAACAAAACCTTCAACCCCATAGTATGACAATAAGCCCTCTAAGGTTGCACAACTACGTGCAAGACATGTTCACTTACAATATCGATAGCAGAAATGACAACCGAAACATCGATGATACAAGAAGGAGGATAATAGCGTTGAGTGAGAAAGTGATCACGATTGTATACATATCATAGGAGCAAATAAAAAGTTCCTCCGAAGACATCCGCATCAAAATAGTTGATACAGAACATAAGCGATACATACATACAATAATGAATGGTGAATATGCGTAGGTGTGGCTTTGTGTGTACAAAATGAAATGAAAACTGAAATACATAACATGACCGACGAAACAAAAAAATGTGATATTTGAGTCTGTCCAATGAATTGACTCTATTTATTTATTTCTGTAGTGATATTTTTTATCGAATCAAAACACAACGCAGAAGAAAACGTGAGGTTGCTGTCAATGAGAAACCAATACAAACCCAATTTCTGTTTTCCAAGGCTTTCATTCGATTCTATAAAAAGAAACACACATGCAGTGGTTTCCTACTGACTCTCGCTCGTCTCGGCCGTGCCAGTGCTTTGTTACTTGTATGCATTTTTGTGGTTTCAGTTTGATCCCCCTCGGCCTGCGCCTTCCCCCACGCGAGGCCCACGGCCCCCAGCAGTCCAGCACCCCCAGAGTGAGTCAGTGACCCAGTGTCGCGACCGCTCCCCGCCGCCATCACTCCAAAGTCCCGACTCCCGATTTCCGGCTGTCCCGGGCCCCGGCAAAAAAAATCTCACAGTTTATTATTAGTTACTCGCGTGTTTTTATTTGTCTCCGTGTCTCTATGTGCTCACACTCTCTCTACTTACTAGTATAGACAGTGAGAGGCTAGGCTAAATAAGTTATAGGGGTACGGAATATAAGTTCCAACTTTAATGTTTACTTTTTGATGTTTAATGTTTATTCGAGGACTAGGTATAATAAAAGTTGCAACAGTTTAACGCATTGAGCTTAGCAGCGAGGGTCTCTATATCTATGTACAACAAATATTACTATATTTTTTAGAAATTAGAATACCTCTGACTTCTGAGGCTCCAGAGACTGGCTGCGTCACCAACAAAAAAAAAAGAGTTCAGGCGAACGATACAAAAAAAACCCCCTTCGTACATATCAAGAGTTGTCAAAAGGCATCGGTAGTTGTTACTTATTCGGTATAACCCATAATAAAAAAGCGACACAGCCTACAAAAAGTAAACAAACTATCTGTCATTCCCACAGACCATAGTTTGTCATCGAAGTAACGCATTCGTTGGGCTGTCAAGATGTCCGTATTCATTGTTGGCGCGAAGCGCACGGCCTTTGGAACATTTGGTGGTGCATTTAAAGACACCACTGCCACTGAATTGGCAGTGCACGCGGCAAAGGGAGCCGTGGCTGCGTGTGGAGTGGACGTTAAGAAAGTAGATAACATCGTGGTCGGCAATGTCGTTAACTCTAGCAAGGACGGTATCTACATGGCCAGACATGGTATGTTTCATCTTCCACCTTGCCAATGAATTATCTAGTTTAGTATTTGTTGTTTTACGGACAAATGACTCTGACAAGGATACAAAACGAGTCTTGATGTTTGTTTTACTTCACAAAATTGAGACCAGCGCAAGTGACTACCATACTATAAAATAGGCCGGATTTGGTTGGAAATAATACTAGTTACGTTTAAAAGACCCTAGGGTGTGTCTATCTGTATTTTGTTTTAATAAATAAACATGGTTCTGGGCATAACCACCTTGTAAGTACACAGTCGTCCGCAACAATGCCCAGCAGTTGCAATCGCAGCGAATTATGGTGACATCGTGGAAATTATGTTCATGGTGTGTTAGGGCAGTCATTCTTGTCCGCTCTATCAAGTTTAGGCATTTAAGCATTATATTTGGATAAATTTGGAATTGTTTGGTTCAATAGATATCTGAAGCTTCGCCTCGTCTGCACCCCAATTTTGTTTCAACGTATATTCCTATCAAATTAAGTGGAAGCCCGTGAATTCTTCATCAGCTTTTGTTCACTTCACCTATCGCCCACGACCTGCACTTCCGCAGTGTCGCAAGTCTATTGTATCATAGGTCACATATTGCAATTAGGCATACACATAAAATACAGCTGCCTGCGTGGATGCGTGAATGGTACGACGAAGGTGCAAAATATGGGCCATTCTAACGGTCACTTTACGCAATAAAAAATCCTTTGACTTTGTTTACTTTTTTCCTCAGTCGTGTACCACGATCAGGTCACCGCGACCTTAGTATTGCATTTTCGATTGACTTCCTAAGGTTTATCTTTTTTGCCTTGTTGTTTGATTTTCAACAGTTGGACTTCACACTGGCCTACCCATCGAAGCTCCCTCTCTACTGGTCAATCGTCTATGCGGTTCTGGATTTGAATCCATTGTCCAGGGTACCCACTCCATACAGCGAGGCGAGTCTAAAATCATGATTGCAGGAGGCTCAGAAAACATGTCGCAAGTACCGTACTCGCTCAGGAATGCGAGGTAACTTGCCAATTGAGCTCTAGTTGCCGCCCATTACTTCGTACAAGTATTTGGTGCCTTCTATAGTGACAGAGATTTTTGTATTATTTGTGCGTGGCGATATTCATAATAAGCGTTCATCACGATACTATCTTTTTCTCTGATAGAACATAAATGAGTGCCACCAAAGTCGTTCAATGGTTATTTTAGTTTCAATCAGACCAACTAACGCTGGCGACTGATTTCCTTTGCTTTCGCACAGATTTGGTACCCGTTTTGGCCAGGATCTGGTACTGGAGGATACCCTATGGGCCGGACTGAGCGACAGCTACTGTGGCCTACCAATGGCGTTAACAGCTGAGAATTTGGCTGAGAAGTACAACATCTCTCGTAGAGAGTGCGACGAGTGGGCGGTGCGATCGCAACAAACATGGAACACCGCCCAAGAGGCCGGTCACTTCAAGGACGAGATTGTCCCCGTAGAGCTAAAGAGTCGCAAGGGCCTTGTTAGCTTCGAGGTGGATGAGCACCCCAAGACTACATCAACTGTCGACAAATTAAGCGCGATGAAGCCAGTGTTTAAGAAGGTATGCAGTCCGAACCTCGCATGAATGGGTTTGCACTTTGCACTGGAACTCATCATATGTTTTTGTGCATTGGCCGGCTGTTTAAGAGTGCATGAGGTGGTTATCTGCTCGACAAAATTGATTTGCATCTTTTACGATGACAGTTTGACTAGAAAACTTGTACGCCGGGTTTCATTATCTGCACCGACACTCAGTATTATTACGATCACCTACGTTATTCAATCACAGTATAACCATCTTAGAATACTAACGATAAATACAGCCGGGATGCCCGGAAGGCTCATATGCGGACTACATACGAACTCGTCACAGGAAACCAATATTAATCGCAACTGTAACCGCGTAACTCTTATGGTCACTGTATTAGCAAACGAGCACAAACTATATAATCATATTCCAGGTTTAGCCCAATATTATAGGTATTACTACAATTGTACATTCCTCTAAGTACCCTCATCTCGCGATCCCATATGACTTGCACTTCAGGATGGAGTGGTGACGGCTGCAAATGCCTCGGGTATCTGTGATGGCGCAGCCGCTCTTGTCCTAGCTGGTGAAGATGCAATTAAGAGCGAAGGCTTGACACCTCTCGTACGCATTGTGAGCTCAGCTTCGGTTGGTGTACCGCCAGAGATTATGGGTATCGGACCCGTACCCGCCATTCAGGTATGTGAGCATTCGATAATTAAGTACTCGGCTCACTTGAACATGAATTTTTGACTGGACTGAGATTTGGTACTAGTCATCACACGCGAGATACGGATGGAATGGTGTGAGTTGCTCGAGATATAAGGAGCAATTTATAGAAGCTTTTGTTCAACACCAGTATTCTACACGTATATTTAGGCCGCATTAAAGTCAGCCGGACTTACTATGAACGATATGGACTTGGTGGAGATCAACGAAGCATTCGCTTCTCAATATCTTGCTTGCCAGAAGGAACTCGGTTACAGTTCGGATATCGCGAACACTTGCGGCGGTGCCATTGCTCTGGGACATCCCCTTGGAGCCTCGGGCGCGTAAGTTTTTCAAATGTTTTGGATTTATTTGTTTTGTCACCATTTAGACATCGATCGTTTTGTTGCCGACTTGGGTAATGTAAATATATATTTCCGAATCTACATGGGCGACAAAAATGTCTCTTTCAGATGATAATTATAATGCATCCAGTTTGACTGCATAATTCTCCTCGTCTAAGGTGCGATTCTCGTACTTACTCTTCATAATCACCACTTACCCCTCGCAGACGTATTATGGCCCACTTGACACACAAGCTTATCCGCACTGGTGGCAAATACGCTGTCGGCGCTGCATGCATCGGTGGTGGTCAAGGTATTGCTGTCATTATTGAGCGCGCTTGAACGAGTAACCCCGTGAAATCTTCGGCCACGTGTGCAAGACGCGCAGGCTGGATCCTTGACTGAGTACGCTGGCACATCGGTTCAAGTTATCAGATGCTGTGACCAGGATACTTCGAAACCTGAAGTATCTGGTAGTGTGTTGAGGAGCATGAGTGAGCCCGATGGGAGATTGAGTCCATTACGACAAGAATCCAAATAAATAAAGAATACACGACGGCCTACCAAAACCTGACTTCCACTTTTCTGCGTTTTCACTCGAATTCGTCGATACATTGTTCAGTGACGCATTAGTGTGGCGGATGGGATATTGCGAGTCCGCTACAACTATTAGTCTAATCAAGAAGTCTGCACACAACGACAATCAAAATTGGTTTACACTTGCCCGCGTAGAGTCATGTAGCACAAAGTCTTCGACGACTGACCCAGAACACCGCTGAGATGAAGTTCGTAGATATGAATGCGTTTGTACATGAGGGATCAGCTACTAATAGTGTCGTCTACATTTTCTATCCGTGACGCTTCTGATTTAACTTGTACAATTTAGTAATCTTGGAAGCGTTAAAGAATTTAGATGGAAAAAAAGTACGATCACCAATGAGATTTAGTTTGTGCCAGCGGATGTAATAAGTGTATCATTTGATATTTTGCTGTGTGTCTTTACAACTTAAAAAGATAAATTGCAATATGCGTCTGTTTGACTAGCACAAGCGGAAGTAGTTTATGGTCAGAGATCATCACGTTCCCGTGTTTGTCGCCTATTTTACTTGATCAGAAGAGTCTAGATTCTGTTGCGTGTCTCAATAGCTTCATATAAGTAAAGGCACGTGTATACACGACAACATGTAACCCTGACAGAAAGGCCAGCAATAGCACTTCGGTATACTACAGCTCTGTATATTCGACAAGTGAAGTTGAACCCCTTAATTTTTGCAATTTTGGTATATAGGACTCAAACAGAGGCAACACATACTTGTTAGTATGGCAATATGTAATTTTATTGCTGAGTCACCAGGAGGATAGCAATACATGCTTGCATACACAACCTCAGTGCAGCCGATTTAATCTATATATGTAGAGATTGAAGTTCCATAGTTCCAATCGCCAAGGTAAAGCAGTACATGGGTATCTGCGCATCATTGGAACATATAATTGCTGCGATAGTTTGGTGTGGTGCTATCTGGTTTCTTTATGGGCCACAGTTTACACTGAATCGATTGCCTTCGATGACCTAGGGACAGCAAGGGCCAGTGGAAGGGTGCGTCGGTTTGTCTTCTACAAGACGGGGCAGCTTGTAACATAGCCTATTTGCATCTCCAGAAACATGCAAACCACGTTAGCAAGTTTGATCCCCCGATGAATTCAAAAGTATCGCAGGGGAATGTGATGCCTTGTTATGTCCCACGGGAAACAAATTAATGGGACTATCGATTTGTTCTGCAGGTCGCCAAGAGGCGTGTGCGAGGATCACCATGTCGGATTATATGGTAAACTTAGTTACGCAGTGTCTGTGCAAACTTCCATTTCCCTCATTTTCCGCAACAAGGACGTCAGCTCCGCTTTCAGTTCTATCGGTGGATTGTTCACCAGAACTGTTGCGTAGGCAGCATGGGCGGCTCCTACATGATAATGCAAGCATATAAAAATATCGAATTCAGCAAGTGTAAACAAGATATAGATAGAACTGGGTATATAGTAATGTATACAAACACCCCAATGAGGATTGATTAGTTACCTGCCAGCAAGTGTAGGGCAACACAGGCGTCGCTCCTGATATTCTTGTTAACGTCCGGAAGGAAATCATTGATACGCACGGCCTAAACAAAATAAGTGCGCACGATAAGTTTCGACCAATACACAGAGGGGGACATCCGCCAAGCGCAAATGTAATGTTTGATTCAATGAGATTGAGGACCACCGAGTGAAAGTAACCAGGCATAACTATCCAGATCTCAAAAAGAAAACGACAGATTTGTAAAATGGGCTCAGACCTGTTCATGACAACTCTTCAAAAGGTCCGTTGGTACGCGGAGGGCCTCGGTTTGTATATTCTTGACTTCCTGTTTTTGATGTGATAAGGATGTGTTACACGAAAACAATAAAGAGTGCACGGTGCACTATACAAAATGAGAGACCGGACTATAGGATATATCCGCTTTGGGAATAGCATTTCATACAGCGACTACTTGGGTGCATTTCGCTAGTATGTAGACATCAGTACCATCACGCTGACATATCGTACATGGACACCAATTCAAACTCCAAGTCGCAGCGCGAATACTGCTACAACTCGAACAGGGAGCGACAATGACAGCGACATGCATCGCACTCGTCTACAACAACACATATGCCTCACACGATCGGAACACAACACATGGCCCTATTGAGGCTTGAGAGTACTCAACATATTACCTCGTCCGAAAGCCCCGAGTCCTTCTTCCACGTCAACTGCAGTCGGGCATATGCTTTCGCATCATCATCGGCGGCTTCGATCATCTGTGCGGCGGCTTTGTCTAGATCGTGCGCTATGCTTCTCGCCTTGTCTGCCACCCCCTTCTTCTCGTCAATCTAAACGTATTTTAGTGAAAGCCAGTGCCAAGATGTTTAGTGCCGTTGACGACTGGGTCGTGACTGACAGCCCGTATCCAGGTTGTGAAAGGCTGTGCCGACTGAAGGAGTCAAAGTCACCGAAGTGCAGGATTGGTGTACAACCACAATGTATAGGGTTGGTGATAATATATATATATATATATATATATACATACATATATATATATATATATATAATATATAAATATATATAATATATATANATAATATATATATAATACATATA